GGACTGCCTGGGCACATGGCTAAGAAAAAGACTTTTACTTATTGATGTTTATAAGCTGACAGTAAGAAATACACACGACATGATATAAACCTAGAGTTTTATATCCTATAAGGCCCTCACAACAAACCCAGAGCCAAAAGAAGCTTCCCAGCTCTCACTGCTTATGATCAAAGCAGCCCCCCAAAATAATCCAAAAAACGATCCAGATGAAGGGGTAATGTCTCCAAGGGCCAGCTACCCACTAAGGGAAGGGGGTCCTTACACCTTGGGCCCCACCCAACCCAGCCCTGAGACACCTAATTACCAAAAATCTTTCTAAAAATAACAAAGGATTTCACACTTCAGCACATACCATCTAACTGTCCCATCGACTTTTCTTGCGCTTGGGTGGCTCGGGGACAGCAAAACCATCAGCTGTCTTATCTGTCTTGCCGTCCATCTTATCCATCTTACTGCTATCCACCTTGGGGTCCATCTTGCTCTCACGATTACAACCTTCTTTCCTGCTTTCACCATTCCGGCCATCATTTGCACCCCGGCCATCATTTGCACCTCGGCCATCATTTGCACCTCGGCTCTCTCCATGTCGGCCTCCACCTCCTCCATGCCTGTTCTCCCCATGACGATGGCTATCAGTATGACGGCTGCTGCTTTCTGGATAGCGGTATCCATCTCCATGGCGACCACCGTCTCCATGACGTGGGCTGTCACCATGCCGATTGCCACTGCCACTCTCTCCATGGCTGTGACGGCTGCCACCCCGGTTCTCAGTATATCTCTCTCTCTTCCCATTGCTACCCCCAATCCCTTCTCGGCTGTTATTCCCTGAAGCTGTGTTGTTGACTCCCTGGGCTCCGGCAGTGGGGTAGGTCACCGGGGCACTGCTGAGGTTCCCAGTATTGCCAAAGCCTGAGATGCCCTTGGTGGCACCAGCAACGGGGCTGTCAGGACTGTTAAGACCCTGCTGGGCTGAATTAGATGGTACAGAATTCAAGCTCCCTGCACTTGTCCATCCACTTGCCCCAGCAGCAGAACTTCCAGCTTTCTGGTTGCTTAAGCTGGCGGCAACAAAGTGACTCTTGTACTGTGACTAAGAGAGAAAAAGAACGAAAATAGTTATGATGGTGAGTTCAAGAAACTTATAAGCTTGGCAATGATATACAGGAACTAGGGTGTTCACACACACAAGAGTATCCATACTGTCTTGGCCCTGTGACTTTAGCACCCTGACAGCCCCACAATCCTGTGGCTTCTGTGCGTATTAATCTGGAGATGGATAAAATATGTAATGTAAATTAAGGCCAGCTAACTGGAGGGGTAAAGGTAGAAGAGTTCCCTAGATACAGAATCAAATTTGTCTTAGCTAAAATATCACTGTCAACCAGATAGCGTTAGCCTTTGAGGAGGACAACTCAGTAGGTTGGTGAGGCAGAAGGGAACAGCAATCCTGCTGCAGTACCACAGTCCTGGGCTCAGTGTGCCTGAGGTAGACGACAGCAAGAGGGGTTTCTGTAGCCTCTACACCTGCATCTCTAGATTAGCTACAGTTTATGTTCAAAATGGAAAGCAGTGAGAGAAATCCAGTACCAAGTGCACAAGCCCAGCTACATCTCAAGGCTAGGCCCCCTTGTCATTGCCCAAGAATTACTGCTGAAGCTCTTTCAACTAAATGCTGATCTCATACCTGGAAAGCCGCTTTCATTGCCGTCAGCCGATCTCCCATGGCTCCTGTGGAGGGCTTGTAGGCCTCATAGTTGCTCATTACATTGTTGTTATTTCCTCGATCCTAAAAAATAAGCACACTGTAAGAATGGATGCAAAGTAGGAAAACCCCTGCTATAGACTAGGCCTCAACATACTGAAAACGAGTGGGAAAGGGAACAGGATTTTTTTTAGGAAGTTATGTTTTGTGAGAAAAGGTGTGGTAATGATGAATAACTTAGAAACACTATGCCTTTCAACCCAGTATTTCTATTTCTGGAAATTAATCATAAATAATGAGAAATGAGATCAGATTATGCCCAAAGCTGATTATGTGGCATTATTTATACACAAACATGAACATGTTTATGTAATTATGTAAAAACTAGAGGCCTGGTGCACAGATTCATGCACAGTGGGGTCCCTTGGCCTGACCAGTGATCAGGGCCAATCAAGGCTGATTGGGCCAGCTGGGGGAGGGACCACAGGAGGCTGGCTGGCAGTGGGAGATTGGCTGTAGGAGCGCACTGACCACCAGAGGACAGCTCCTCCACTGAGCATCTGCCCCCTGGTGGTCAGTGCACATCATGGCTACCAGCCAGTCATTTGGTCATATCGGTCGCTTAGACTTTTATATATATAGATTATATTAAAGATGGAAAGGCGACATGGCAGTATGCACATACTTTGAATCCAGACCCTTGAGTCTGAACCTTAGCTTTGTCACTTACCAGTGTGTAACCTTGAGTGCCTCAGTTTTCTTATCTGTACTCACTCTTACTGAGTGGCTGAGAAGACTGAGTTAATATGCATGCCTGCTTGGAATGGACCTGGCATATAGTAAGTGTTTAATACTGTAATGTGGGAACAGATTATTTATCAAGGATACCAAGCTAACTATAATGATCCAGAAATGTAGACTTGGCTTAGGAATCAGAGTAACAGGAAACAGGCAGTTAAGATAGCGAGTCAGGGAGAGCTTTTGTTGCCTGATTTGTGAGAAAAGCTCTCTCTCTCCTCTCTCTCTGATGAAATTTCCCAGAGAATGTAGAAATCATTGCTGAGTTTAGTTACAAGATACAACTAGAATCTACACAGTGACCCTGTGGCATGTCTAGCAGCAGGCTCTATCTAGGCGAGTGCTAGGAAAACAGACCGTGGAGTCCCTTGTCCAGAGTTTCTGATTCACCAGGTCTGCGGTGGGGCATAGTCTACATTTACTGCTAGTCCAGGAACCACTGCTAATCTAGACTGATTTCCTGAGCACATCAAGGTGCTTCTTCAACAGAAGTCACAACACTAAGAACCAGCATTAACGTAGAGGTAAGCCAGCAAATTGAACACAAGCTTCCTTCTAGACAGGGTTCCAAACTCACTGAGGTTTTCTCAGGTAGAGGAGAATAGTCCTACATTACTCAGGACTCAGGACCAGCCTTCAGGGCACTATTGTAGTATGGACTCACCGTGTTCTCAGAGCCTAGCCCAGGCCGCTCCCTGTAGCCCAGGCCTCCTCCACCAATGTTCAGCTTTTTGCCTTTCCCTCCTTTGAAGCGGGACTTCCGAAACCAGGCATTCTGCATTGAACACAATTCAAGGTTAAGCCAGGGTAGAGAGAAGGGGCCAGAGAAAGGATAAGATCGAAGAGGAAACTAAGTGGGAGGGAAGAGCTTCTTGCTTCGTCTTTAGCCAAGAACCACAGATTCCCTTCCTTTAGGTAGTTTAATCCACCAATTTGTCAGGAGGCTTAGATCTTTATCTAAGGCTTCCTTTATTGCTCCTTCCCCCAGGCCTCCAAGGGAAGTGATTAGTTACGCTGGCCCACTTCTAACTTCCTTGAGGAAAGTGAATTTGTTTTCTAGTTTGCAATTTACCTATACATACCACTTGACATAAAAACTCAGAGCTTTTAAAGAATTACTGGGTTCAGAAGTAGAGGAAAAAAAACTATGTGAAGTGAGGTTTATTAGAATTGACTCTAGGCCCAGGACTGGTAGTCACATAAATAAAAATAAAATTTTACCCACAGAGCCTAAAAGTTTTCACTGAACTAGATCACCGCCAGAATACTACTAATCATATTTATTCACATTTTCTTCAGAATGCAAACACCTCTGGGGGAGGTTTGAGCTTTGACTGACAATCACACATGCCAAAGTTCTTGAGAGGCAGGGCAAGCTTGGCAAAGGTGATGAGAAGCTGACAGTATGAGAGCACAGGAAGCCTGAGGCACAAAAAGAGATGTATCTTGTTCAAACTTTCAGTTTAGGATTGGCTCTCTACACCCAGGAAAGGGAAGGAAACTACTCTTACAGGTCCTTTACTCTCAGGACCACGTGACAACCGCATTATGGGTAACAGTGCTGCAGGCTGGCCTATCTGAAAAACACGTTAGTCTCTGATATCAGAACGTGTACTCTGAACACATTTGTAATCTGGGGACTGCATGTATTAGCACGACTTAAGATTTACTTCAGTAGAATGGCTCACTCAATTTTGGACCGGTAATCAGTGTGGTCTAAAATCTGAAATCTAAGTCCATGAGGAATAGTTAAAAACATAATTTTTTAAGACGTCACACATTTTTAGCCCCCAAAAGAGAAGACTGTTCGGGAGGAATAGAAGCCATCTTTGAAATTACACTTACATAGATGCTGCTGAAAGGAGAGGATGAGAAGATAACCAGATGAATTTTAATGCCCTACAAAACTGATCAGTACCTCTAAGCACTATTCCCTCCACTCCCGCTCCTTTCTTGACATGTTTCTAGGTTATCTGCCTCAGGCTTGTTGGAATTTGGTAACCTAGTTTAGTTTTACAACTTGGAGCAACCTGAAGTGTGCCCAGCCCCTCACCTGCATCGCCAGATCTAGGAGTTCCTTGGAAACATGTTGATTGGCTCCTTCCAAGTTCCGGACAAGATCACCAGCAAAATTGCTGTCCTTGGGGGTTAGCAAGGTATAGGCCACACCCTTCTCACCCGCTCGTCCTGTGCGGCCAATTCTATGAGTATGGGTATCAATGTCTCGAGCCACATCATAGTTAATGACAGTCTTAATTGAAGGAATGTCCAGACCACGGGCTGAAATAATAAACCAAATTCTTTTATTCTTCATCAGGAGTCAAAAACCAAAGTAACCCCTCCCTAGCCGGTTTGGCTTAGTGGATAGAGAACCGGCCTGCGGACTGAAGGGTCCCAGGTTCGATTCCGGTCAAGGGCACATGCCTGGTTGTGGGCTCAATTCCTAGTAGGGGGCGTGCAGGAGGCAGCTGATCAATGATTCTCTCTCATCATTGATGTTTCTTTCTTTTTAAAAATATATTTTATTGATTTTTTACAGAGAGGGAGAGGGATCGAGAGTTAGAAACATCAATGAGAGAGAAACATCAGCTGCCTCCAGCACACCCCCTACTGGGGATGTGCCCGCAACCAAGGTACATGCCCCTGACTGGAGTTGAACCTGGGACCCTTCAGTCTGCAGGCCAACACTCTATCCACTGAGCCAAACCAGTCAAGACTCATCATTGATGTTCCCCTCTCTCTCTCTTTCTCCCTTCCTCTCTGAAATCAATAAAAATATATATTTTTTAAAAAAACAAAAAAGCAAAGTAACCCCAAATGCTAAATCTCTAAGAACTCAGGTTCCATTCTTTTACATATATATTACATATATAATACTGATTTCAGAGAGGAAGGGAGATGGAGATAGAAACATCAATGAAGAGAATCATTGATTGGCTGCCTCCTACAAGCCTCCTACTGGGGATCAAGCCTGCAACCCAGGCATATACCCTGATTGGGAATCAAACTGTGACCTCCAGGTTCATAGGTTGACCCTCAACCACTGAGCCACTGCAGCCAGGCCCAAATTCCATTCTTATCTAGGCAAAGTACATTGTTTGCTGAGCTGAGATACAAGTTACCCTTCTAGAACAAATGCCACTACTATAGATTCTATGATGCAGGGCCACCTACTGTAAGGTATATAACATCTGCCATCATAACCTGCATTGCCTCTCTTGCACCAGGAATATATAAAAAATTAAAATCAGCTTCAAATATGCCTTAAGGCTGAGAAATTAACCTCTTTCTGGTATGATCAGTGTGCTCTAAATTGCTCCACGGGGTATGCCCAGCCAGGCCAGCAGAGCACCCTCCATCAGCTTGATCAGGTATTATAGGTCTTGTACAGCAAGACGGAGCATCCTTACAGCACAGAAACCTAAGGTTATTGGGGAAATTCATATCCTACCTGCAACATCTGTGGCCACCAGGATGGGAATGTCCTTTTTCTTAAAGTCTGAAATGACCTTGTTTCTTTCACTCTGATCCATGTCCCCATGAAGCAGCCCAAGGTTATGATCCTCCTGTTTAAGGTTATTGGCCAGCTCCTCCGCATTGGCTTTTTTAGTAACAAACAGGAGGACACTCCCAGAAGAGGTAAACTCGACCAGACGCCGGGTAAGCCAGTTCCATTTACTAGGCCCAGAATGGAGAATTTCCACAATCTGTGTCACATCTTCATTTGCCTGAAAAGGAAGAAATGAAACAGGATTGTGACATTTGTGCCACAGGGCACCTGAACAAGGACCAGACATCACATTTTCTACCTGCATCTAGCAGAACCGGAAACAATCTCTCTCCTCCTGGGCCTTCCTTCAGTAAGTCAAGCACACTCGAAACTTAGGTCCCTTTCTCAAATCACTGTGCTATCTCCCCTAATGCGTACATGTACCAACTAATCCGCTAACAGCAATATTTTTTATATGCCCACTACTCAGATTATTCTTAATAAATTAAGCTCCTTTTCTGCCCCTCCCACTCACTGTTCCTAGAATTCATCCACACACACAGAAGGCACTCAAAAGTGAAGAATGGACACTGTCAAAATGCTAACTGCACAGAACTTTAATAAACATGGCAAGCAACTTAAGGAATTCTCAAGGCAGCCTTAACTCAATTCCAAATCACAATTCAAGAGAAATTTTCCACACAGCGCATCTATACAGGTAAGGAAAAAACCCTTAACTCATTTTCACCAGGCCATTCAAGTCCCCCACTCCATGCTGTGCAGGTCTCCTCCCTCCATCATTTTAAATGTCAGTTCTATCACAAGTGGTAGTCTTCTAGGCAAAGCTTGTTTCTTTCCCCCCACAAATGTCATAATCACTGAAGTCCCCTCCAGCCCTGTGAAGGTTACCTCTCCAATATCTCCCTGCACCACTCGAATAGGGTCGATCAGGATGTCTCTGGCCAGTTTTTCAATCTTTTTCCGAAAAGTTGCACTGAATAAGAGAGCTAAAAGGTAAATTAAATTTTGTTAAAGAGTATGACTTCTTTTTTGAATAACCATTAAGCTTCCTACTGACATTCAAAATAGTTTTTAAAAAATATTCAGTTTTTAAAAAAATAAGCCTACCTGAACTTTAACTTTAGTTAAAACAAAAGCAAACCAAGAAAACTGATTTACTAAGGAAAAAAGGCTTGATCTTACTCTATTTTTATACATTTTCTATTAAGACAGGGTTGTCAGAAATCAGATCTGCACTGTGCATTGCCTCTACCCAATAAAACTGTATATATTGGAGCAAGTCACTCAATTCTCAGCCTTAGTATTTTCATCTATAAAAATGAGTGAATTAGAACCGATGACCTCTAAGGTCCTGTGCAGCTCAGATAAACTGTCACTATCTCACCCTTTATAGTTCTCACCAGGACACACACATGATCACTTTTGCTGCCACAACTGAGTGCTTATAAAATAAATAGAGGAGCTTATTCTGAGTACAAATGTGGCTTAATAAACTGCTTCATACATACTTTGTCTGTCAGGACGGACATGACTGGCTATCGACCGCACCTGGTACTCTGGAAGAAGTAGAACAGTACAATTACTATAACTCTGCAATACAGTTTGGGATGCCCGGAAAAGTCATTTTAGTAAAAATCTTCATATGAAAGGTTATAAGAATTAAGGGGGGGGAGAGGGAGAAATAAGGAAACTTTGAAACTCCTAGATCTATCATTCAGTATGAAACGCAGAAAACGTTTTGTCCTCCACCCAGTTGGGGTAGGCCCAGTAGTGTTCCAATCAATAAAGACAGCTAGAATTTTCACACGACCAGGTTAAGTGAAGGAGGACAGGAAAGCAAAGGGCCTTGAATGACATGACATCCACCCAACTAAGAACACAGACCTTGACATCCACAAAGGCATATGAATAAAAATAAAACATAAAACCAATATTCCCCCTCTATACAAAGGCATTTTCAATTGTCCTCAACCCAATCACAACTAACATACTTTTCCTGAGGGAACTCCTAAAAATAGTTAATATTTTAGCTGTAGCTCTACAATCTAACCCTCCCCAGGAATATTTTTAGCTTCTCTCACAGAAAAAAAAAAATTTGCTAAGTCCAGACATGGGAAAAACTAGTATCATGAGATCAGGGACAGAAGAAACTGGTATTCAGAGCATACCAAATCCCATGTCAAACATTCGATCTGCTTCATCAAATACAAGGTAAGAGACTCTCTGAAGATTGGTAGCTTTCTTCTTCACATGATCAATCAGTCGACCCTATGAGACCCAAAAAATGAATAGTAAATATAATTAAAGGCATTTACAACTTTCTAGAGCTGCGTTCCTGGCAAAAGTATTAACATGTCTTAGACTATAACAGACCCTGGTCTGACAGCCCTGACAAAGCCTAAAAAAACCCAGAAATCAGATTCTTCCTTTACATTGTGATTTAAATCGTGGGAAAATGGCCAGAACAATTTTTGTGAGGCATCTAATTTAAAACCGGCTTTGCCGAAACCGGTTTGGCTCAGTGGAGAGAGCGTCGGCCTGCGGACTGAAAGGTCCCAGGTTCGATTCCGGTCAAGGGCATGTACCTGGGTTGCGGGCACATCCCCAGTAGGAGATGTGCAGGAGGCAGCTGATCGATGTTTCTCTCTCATCGATGTTTGTAGCTCTCTATCTCTCTCCCTTCCTCTCTGTAAAAAATCAATAAAATATATTTAAAAACAAAACAAAACAAAAAAAACAAATAAAACCGATGGGCTTTAATGTTTAGACTACTCTTCTAGACAGCCTGACTATACTTTGAATGTCTTTCTGATTCTTGATGCTCTCAGTGACCCCATCCATTTTCTAGGAGAACATAAGAAAACTTATTTTAAATGAAGGGGAATTTGTAGCTATCCTATATAATAAAAGCCTAATAATATGCAAATGGTCTGAATGACGGAATGACCAGTTGGCAGGGGGCGGGGCTGGTGAGCAGGTGGCACCAGGCCAGACAAGGCAGGTGCCAGCAGGCAGAGGGAGGGGGCGGTAATGGGGAGGGCGGTGGAGCGGAGGGGCTGCCACTCACTGGCTGGAGCCGTTCCCGAAATGACCTGAGGGTCACCTCCCGCAGAGGGAGGCCAGATTGAAGCTTAGGCCCACTCCCCTCCCCCGCATCAGTTGGACATCCCCCAAGGGCTCCTGATCTGCGAGAGGGTGCAGGTCAGGCTGAGGGACACCAACCGCCCCCCACCCGCCCCAGCCGCCCCCACAAGTGCACCAGGCTCTCGTTAATATATAGATCAGAGAATCTTACTGGACTGCTATTTTAGTCAACTAATCAAAATTAAACCAATGCCATGGGCCAGTGGTCGGCAAACTCATTAGTCAACAGAGCCAAATATGAACAATACTTCTTCAAAACAGACTCGCCCAGGCCGAAAACTGACTTCTGTGCATGGGCCACGAAGTTTCGATCGCACTGTACGCGTGCCCGCACGTGGTATTTTGTGGAAGAGCCACACTCAAGGGGCCAAAGAGCCGCATGTGGCTTGCGAGCCGCCGTTTGCCAACCATGGCCATAGGCTGTGACTCATCAGAGTATGCTCTACCCTGCTCTACCACATTTTAGGGGGAATTCCCTCTAATAACTAACCACTTTTCCATACAAAGAGAGGCCGAGAAGCCATTAAATCCAAGACATACTTACTGGGGTACACACAACAATCTCTGCCCCTTCCTGAAGGGCCTTGGCCTGCTCCCACATGCTTCCTCCTCCATACACAGCCACTGATCGAAGATTATATGCTTTCCCAAACCGCTTACATTCTGCATGGATCTAAAAAGTTGTGGACATAATGACACATTAACAAACTCTGACAAAAACCTTTGCCACAACAAAAAAGGGAGTTATAGAACACACTCAGAAAAAATGCTAGAAAATACTTAGACAATTCTCATAGCATTTTGAAAAATCTTAAAAGAGTAGTTTTTCAAACGAAAGTATGTATTTGGTCATATAGAAAGTATATAACAATATTTTCCAAAAGTTTCCTGGTAGCTCAATGTAAATGTATTTAATGCCACTGAATTGCACATTTACAAATGGTTAAAATGGGAAATTTGATGTGTATTTTATCACAATTGAAAAAGAAGTTTCCTGTAATTCTACCCACTTGACTGGTTGGTCCCTTGCTAGTTCAGATTTGCAACAAGGCATTCCATACAAAGCACATACCTGCTGGCAAAGCTCCCTCGTAGGACACACAATCACTGCAATTGGTCCATCACCTGGTTCCAGTTCCTTCTGGTCCATTATATGAATCAGCATGGGCCAGATAAAGGCAGCAGTTTTTCCACTGCCTGTTTTGGCAATACCAATCATATCTCTTCCACTTAATGCCACAGGCACACCCTAGAGAAAAAGAAAGTATACCCACTTTCAACTTTCTATTGTGAAGATGTTTTGAAGGAAATTCTGGGGAAGGAGTAAATGACTATTAATGACATTCATTTTCACTGGAACAAAATTATCCTGGGCTATGCACACCAACTATGGAATAACAAAAAATACATGGTATTCCCCTAAACTTCTTGATTTGGAAGAAATATTATCACTCTCTTCATATGGATCAGCCACCACTTACAAAATACGAATGACTTCATTTTGCTTAAAATATAGAAATAAAAAAATTGTAATTTATAAGTAGGTTACTAAAATTTTTAAGATCTTATCCCCTTAAGAAGGTACAGACTGCCCCATCCACATACATAAAATTCTCAATTTTGGTGTAGGAATGAATAAATCTGGTATATAAATGTGAAAAAGAAGTTATTACTTTCAGTTACAATGAGAATTTTCAGGTCACAGCCAAAGGGATCCTAGTCACTGACGAGTACTAAATTTGTCCAAAGAAATCTTTATTTTTTATTTTACCCTCAACCGAGGACATGACTGGAGGTGGGGGGGAGGGGGCATAAAAATATTGATGTGAGAGAAAAACACCAATCAGTTGCCTTCTGTACACACCCTGACCTTGATGGGGGGAGGAGGGACAGAGATCGAACCTGCAACCTGGGTATGTGTTCTGACGGGGAATCGAACTGGCAACCTTTTGGTTCACAGAATGACACTCAACCAGAAATCTTTGGCCGGGCCACACATAATCTTTTTTATTAGACTCTTTATTTCATGTATGTCTTCCCTCCTCTCCCCTTATTTAGGGCAAAGGTTGAAGACGAAGCTACAGAGGGAATATATGGATACATTCTACCCATGTCAATACAGTTCTGTACTAATCAGTGTGTTTTGTTTTTTAAATTGATTTTAGAGAGAGGGAGAGGGAGAAACATCAGGAATTGAACCCACAACCTGAGTATGTGCCCTGATGGGGAATCAAACTTGCCACCTTTTGATGTACAGGACGATGCTCCAACCAATTTGAGCCACACTGGCCAGGTCTGCACTAACTAGTGTTTTATTGATTTGACTTGCTTGTAAAATAAACACAGTGACTGACTATCATTCTACTTCATTTTCCTTTCAGTATGCTTTACTTACCTGGCACTGTATTGGAGTGGGCTGTGTGTATTCAGATTTCCGAATCTGGTGCATAAGTTGTTCATCAAACCCGAAATGAGCAAAACTGCTTCCTGGTCTAGGAGGTGCAGCACCAGAGACCTAGGGGTAAAGACAACTCCCAGGAATGATTTGTACTTCAAAATCAACAGCACTGGAAGTTCAACAATATTTACCTGACCCTAGCATTTAGCTTGAATATAATGTGAAAATGTACGTCTGTAGCCAAAAGCATATGCTGTTAAAAAGGTAAGAAAATAACAGATCTAAAACCTTATATAAAAGACTCCAGGATAAATATTCCTGAGATAAATGTCATGATTTAAAATGATTAAGTGCCTAGACATCTCTTTAATAAAAATTAATCTTCTGTAAGAAATTAAAAAATCATTGTTCAATTCATTGAAAAATGTCATTTTACTTTTTACCATTTTGCATAACTATTAGCCAGATGGTAGAAAAAAATAAAAGTTGCTCTTAAAATAAAATAAAGAGTGCAAATGAGCTCTAGATATGGTATGCCTTTGTAACCCACTGGTTACAAAGATACCTGCCATCTCCATTTTTAGTCATGCTTGAAGAGTTAATGCTCCACTCAGTGATGGTCCAGACATTGTCAAGCACTATACTGTACCCAGGTAAAGAATGAAACTTATAGATGAGTGGATTAGAAAACTGTGGTACATATACACAATGGAATACTATGCTGCAATATAAAAAAAAAAAAAAAAAAGGAACTCTTGCCTTTTGCAACAGCATGGATGGAACTGGAGAGCATTATGCTAAGTGAAATAAGCCAGTCAGAGAAAGATAAATACCACAAGATCTCACTCATTTGTGGGTTATAGAGAACAACATAGACTGATGAAAAGGGACCGATCCAAAGACTGAGAAACAGCGATCAGGCTATCAATCCCCAGAAGGAAAGTAGAGGAGGGCAGGGGTAAGGGGAAGAGATCAACCGAAGGACTTTCGTGCGGGGCGGGGAGGTTGGGGGTTAATGAGGGGGATGAGGACACATTTGTGATACCTCAACTAATAATAATAGTAATAATAATAATAATAATAAAGAATGAAGCTTATAATTTCCATGTTGATTCCAACAGTGATAACCTCTCAGTGCTTCCTCTGGTGATGCTATCTATCTATTTCTAATCAGGATTTTGCGTAAAAGATATACTTTTTTTGGGGTGGGGGTACTTTTGGCAAATAGACACACACACATACATACACTCTCAGAAAACAGAAGTTCAAATATCACATAACAACTGGTAAGGCATAGGCCAAAAAGCTGTCCACACCAGAGTAGATATCACCGTATTACCTGTGTGTGTGTGTTTCACTTTACTAACATCTAGCAGCACCCTAAACAACATGGCCAATGTATAACCTAAACTTTTTGGGTAGGCAATTTAAATTATTACTGTGAAATTAGTGCATTCATGTTTTTAAAAGGTGTTCATTTCTTCTAATTGAAAACACACACACAACTGTGCTGTATGTAATTTGAGAAGCAAGTGTATCTTAATTTTGAAATATTCTGACTTTATGTATTGATCACATCTACTGAGCTAGTCTTCTCTTTCTGAAGGTGACTCCTACCATTCATTTCTAGCCCACCAAACACAGTTCTCAAAACACTATTCGTTGGAGAAATACTTGATTAATTTTAAGAGTGCAATGACATATTGTTCCATACAACATACAGAGTTGACTGAACACATTTAGCATTCATGTGTGTCACATGCAACAAGAATACAATCCTATCCTCAAAGAGCTGGAAGACTAAGACAATAAAAACAAGACACATGAGCCCAAGGGATATAACTATTACCCTAACAAAGACAGTCCAGAGACCATTAGAAAAGAAATTCAAGATTAAGAATATCTAGCTTAATGGTTGAACTTACCCGAAGATTGAGCTTATGCCGGAGATCTATTAGCTGCTGTGGGGTGAGGTTTGTTATCTCTTCATGCTCATTGTAAAAATTTTTTTCAAATGGTGGATAGTCAATCTGCAGGTCCAATTATTCAAAGTTAGTCTAGAATTCAAGAGTCAATCCTGTAAGTTTGACTTTAATGCAAAATAACCTTTTACAAATATTACACAAGTAAAGCCATAACCAGAGAACAAAGGAATTCACTTATTCATGACAAACATCCCCAAAGTACAACTAGTACCATTCCCTAATCCCATTTTCAATATAAACACCAACCTGCTTTCTAAAGACTCATAGGAACACACTTCAGCAATAGCCGGTTTGGCTTAGTAGATAGAGCACTGGCCTGCAGACTGAAGGGTCCCAAGTTCGATTCCAGTCAAGAGCACACACCTGGACTGTGGGCTCGATCCCCAGGAGGGGGTGTGCGGGAGGCAGCCGATCGATGATTCTCATCATTGATCTTTCTCTCTCCCTCTCCCTTTCTCTCTGAAATCAATAAAAATATATTAAAAAAAAAAAAACACAAATAAAACACCACACTCCAGGGGAGTGAAGGGTGGAAGCAGAGTGGAGGGGGTCAAGGGGGGGAAGGGGACATATGTAATACTTTGAAAAATAAATAAAAAAAGATTTTTAACAACTTTGATGAAGACTAAGGAATTTACAATGCCAAAGGCTTCAGATTTTAAAAGAAAATAGCCCACCCTATAACATTTAAATGTTTTGGAGTAAGCTGTTCACTCACTTAGCTCTAAGCATTTAAAAATACTTCTAATATTTCCTTTGGGGACAGATCTGTGTGTAGAGGAAGTTCTATTCTTTTTAAAAACATGGAACTGTTTACATAACTTTTAAAAAAGGAATGACCAAGCATTTCCAATTCCAAGAAGGGAAGAAGTTAATTTCTGCTACTCTTCATTGCTTACTGTACTAATAATACAAAACAGAAGCAAACCAAAACATATGAATTTAGTTAAATGATTTTTTTTTAATATATTTTATTGATTTTTTACAGAGAGGAAGGGAGAGAGATAGAGAGCTAGAAACATCGATGAGAGAGAGACATCGATCAGCTGCCTCCCGCACATCTCCCCCTGGGGATGTGCCCGCAACCCAGGTACATGCCCTCTACCGGAATCGAACCTGGGATCCTTCAGTCCGCAGGCCGACGCTCCATCCACCGAGCCAAAATTGACACATCACGATTTTCTTTTTGACAACATGGTATGTCCACAATAAACTTATTTAAGGAAAATCTAAGTATTTACTAGGTGCTCAAAAATTTCCTAATTCTGGACACAGCCTAATTATCTCTCTATAGCACTATCAACAAAAAGCCTTACAGTCTGCCTTTTAGGCAGGAACCTTTGTTATGAGACCCACAATGTTGCTGCACATAATGGAGTCTTTACCAATTTCCTTTAGTTCTCTTTATCAGAATGGAAGCTCCATGAGCAAGAATTTTTATTTTTGTTCACAAATTTTACATATAAACATGTAAATTTTTATTTTAAGAAACAGAATGAGAAGAAAGCTACTTTTCAGTAGAAGGGATATCCTTCCTTTACTTCTGGTCTCTCCTGGCAGACTACTCATTACATAAGAACAACTGGGAATACCCCAGGATGATGAAGTTTGAGCACTTTGTCAAAGATTTTTTTATTAGATGATTATTTCAAGTACTTGTATGTTTTTCCTTATTGAATTTTCACTCTTTATTATGGATAGTTCTTCCTAGATCAGGTTCAAGTATTTCGTTTCATCTGTCACATGTAAAATACGAAGGCAATATGTGATAGCATTTATGCAACAGGAAACATTTAGAAAACTGAATATACCAGTGGTTCTCAAACTTTTTAGCTTCAGGTACCCTTTACATTTAACAAAAATAGATATGTGGGTTATATCTATTGATATGTACTGTGTTAAAATTAAAATAAAAAATTTTAAAATTTAGTAATTCATTTAAAAAACAACAACAGCCCAACCAGCATGGCTCAGTGGTTGAGCATTGACAGTTCGATTCCTGGTCAAAGCAACTGCCCTGGTGGTGGACTTGATACCCAATGTAAGGGGTGCAGGAGGTAGCTGATAAATGATTCTCTCTCATCACTAATATTTCTCTCTCTCTCTTCCTTCCTCTCTGAAATCAATAAAAATAGATTTTTAAAAAATTTACAATAAACCCATTACACTTTAACATAAATGCTTTAATAAAAATAAGTTTTGCCAAAACCAGTTTGGCTCAGTGGATAGAGCGTCGGCCTGCGGACTGAAAGGTCCCAGGTTCGGTTCTGGTCGAGGGCATGTACCTGGGTTGCGGGCACATCCCCAGTGGGGGGTGTGCAGGAGGCAGCTGATCGATGTTTCTAACTCTCTATCTCTCTCCCTTCCTCTCTGTAAAAAATCAGTAAAATATTTTTTTAAAAAAATAAATAAAAATAAGTTTTGATAACATTGTTTTACAGTTTTAGAAATCTCTTTAATGTCTGACAAAAGAAAATGGTTGCTTTCAGCCCAGGAAAAAATCTGGCTCCTCAGAGATACGTGGTTAGAAAAGGGAACTAAGTATTTATTAACAGCCTTTGCAGATTGTTGTGGATTTTTACTCTTCTTCAATTCTATACTAAAACTTGACAAGACGTCATTTCTTACAGGTTATTTTCACTGTGTAATCTGAAATCATATCATGAACTTTTACATTCTGATACATTATAACCAATGAATCTAACGTATACACTTTGAATGGGAGTCTTTATTCATGCATGATTTTGTAACATCATGGACTGGCCATTTTGAAAACACTGGTTTACTGAGGTAGTATGCAGATGATTCAAATGGTAAAATTTCATTGTAAACACATATTTTTAAAATCAGTTATTATCGTCAATTTCATTACAACAGACTTTACATATAAGAAAACTGACAAGCTCACTATGATGAATGTTTCCAAAATTCTAAGTTTTGTTTGAAAGTTTAAGTTTCTAACCTTGGCAATAAACACTTGTAATTGTTTTCCTTAAAGTGCCATTCATTTTCTCAAGTAAAAACAATATTCCATGAGAAAAACAGCTAGTTCAACTCACAACTCCAATACCTAAATGCTTTATTCTTTTAATATATTTTTATTGATTTCAGATGGGAAGGGAGAGGGAGAGAGAGATGGAAACATCTGATGAGACAGAATCACTGATTGGCTGCCTCCTGCACACCCCCTACTGGGGATCGAGCCTACAACCTGGGCATGTGCCCTTGACCGGAATCGAACCTGGGAGGGACCCTTCAATCCGCAAGCCTACGATCTATCCACAGAGTCAAACCAGCTAAGGCAAATGCTTTATTTTTACTTCCCATTGTTTGACACAGAAAAAAGGACATGTAACGTAAGATCAAGATTTAGTAAATAATAATTTCTACTATTTCAAAGGTATTACTTTAAAAATATATATTTTTATTGACTTCAGAAAGGGTGGGGAGAGAGAGAGGTAGAAACATCAATCATAAGAGATAATCATTAGCCGAAACCGGTTTGGCTTAGTGGATAGA